AATAATAATAATAATTTCCAGGCAAAAAATTTAAAAACTGCCTGAATATTTATAATCTTCATAAAAGACAAATACACCAAAAACAATCTACGTGTGAATCAATATAAACAAATAAATAAAAAAGTAAATACTCTCACACGTCACATTTAAAGAAGCTCGAAAATAAATTTTTTTAAAAAGTTACAAGATTACTTATTCTTAGAGAAGTCAAGATTTAGGATATACTGCTTATGTAAAAGGAAAAGTACACAGTGTGCTGTTCCCCATTAGGATATTCCCATTCGGATTTCGGCCACATTAATTCGAATATCTGAACAAATTGACATAGTTGGGCAAACAGTCGCATCTTATTTTGTTGGACCACTGTAAAAGAGAAGCTAATGGTTGCTTCAGAATTTCAAATGAAATTTCGTTATCGTCAGTTGATGTGCGTCCCAACTAATCTTAGCTTAATCGAGATGCAAATTGGGGAAAGGCAAGATGATGTTAAAAACATCTGCATAGAGATCTTAAAGATCTGTATTCAAAATCCCAACTTTTATCCGGGCTTGAATCCATATACAAATGGAGGATAAGCGAAAACGAGGCAACGATTTCGACAACAAAACTGTTTTCTCTCTTTCATTCTGACTTCAAGTTCTATTCTATATATTGTGTATCGCGGTGTATGAAGATCAACTATATAGACTACTCCATGGCTGTCTGGCCTCGCAAATTACCCATATCAGATATTTACAACGATGTAACAAAATCCATGATTTTTTTCTCCAGAAACGTTCTCAAAAAACAAAAGTTTCTTATCAAATCCAAATAGAAAGTCTCTCTTAAACATATTACAGTTAAGGTTAGAAGATGCTGCTAATATATATATATTTTTTTCTTTTTTGGATATCGTAAATGCACCGGCTCACATTTCCTTCAAAATTCAAAATCTTTCCTACCCACAGCACGCATGACCTGACCCAAATTGGGTTAGCTCGGTCAGGCCTAGCCCTTGTCGCGGCCATTAGACAAGCAAACCATCTATGCCAAACAAAAGACAACTAGATTAAAAAAAAAAGGCTAATGCTGCATTTAGTGCCAGCCACCCACTCTAACCAAACCCAGTGTCTGTCTACTGACGTCATCAGTGGAGGGCACAGACGGCTCTCTTTCGATGATAAAAGCAGACGATAGTGATTTATTTATTTACTTATCTTTCTTTATTATTCTTTGTTTGCTTTTTTAAAATTATTTTTTAAACATATCACTATTACTATCATGATTATTATTTTCCTCGACATCGTTTTTTTTATAACTCTTATGTAATTACTTTAAATGATTCATTATCATTAATATTATTTCATGAATTTGCATTTTCAGACCACATTCTTAGCGATTATCGTTTGAGATTGAATGACATCAAATCTCTTAAAAATTTCAGCATCTTCTACGGTTCCAACTCAGGCCCCATCAACACAGTGATCTCTATTATATCAATTCTATAATTATCCAGTTTTATATTCAGGCATTTTTGGTACATTTCCAAGTGTTCCAGATATTATTGGCATTACTTCGTAATCACCATTTTCGTCAGTTCTCTAATTATATGGTATTATTTGATTCAATTATTGGCTTTATTTTATTTTTAACTTGTACAGTCAGATCGACGATTGACGTGTTCTGGCGTGCCCAATTGATGGTATACTGTGCACCTGAGTCCTGGTTAGACCTGAAAAGTTAGATGTGTTGGCCCCCTTCTGCTACCTGGGGGGACATGTTCTGTGCGGAAGACGGCTTCGACCTTACAACCATAAAAAATATCTAGGGGAGTTCAAGGAACTGTTCCCGGTTCTCTCTTCTTGCCACCTCTGCCACTGGATTGGCGGCCGGTTTTACGGTACTTGCGTTCGAAGCGTGATACCCCATGCGAGTGATATTTGGCCTATGACCAGGCCAAGCCTCCAGCGCTTGCTGCGTAATGACAGGTCCATGACAAGACGGATTTGTAACATCAATCCACAGGATGTGGCCACTGTGCTTTCGAGTGAGTTCTTGGCGCGACTTGGTCTCGGGGATCTCGTCCTCGTTCTGGGAGAGAGAAGGCTTTGCTGGTATGGACACGTGGAGAGTTCCAGCAGTGCTATCAAGTGCGCACATGACTTCCCGGAAGGCAAGTGTGTCTGAGAGTCCAAAGATGTCAAGAAATGACCTGACAGAACGTCATCTAAGAGAGTATAAGCTCTCGACACTCGGCCCTCATGACAGATGCATTTGGAGATTTGGAGTGAGAACTGCCATTATTATAGCTAGCCAGTTACCTGGAAGGGGACCCACTAATGTGAACGATGCTTCCACACCTTTATGATAAACAAGAGCAACCGATGATGATGAAGAAGGATGAATCAAAGAAGACTGAATAAAGCTCTCCCTACACGAAAACACTGCCCTGCCAGGCGAAGAAACGAGAGAGAGAGAGAGAATGCGCGCGCGCTTTCTGATGGGACAGGTATATGAGTGTGTCACCGTTGGGCAGTGGAACGTAGCGCCAACGTCAACCAGCCAACACCAGGGGGGGGGACTATTCCATGTGATCGGTCCGAATTCTCGACAAAGAACAACTGCTTCCCTTCGTCTGAGCACATCATTTTTCTGCCAAGCTTTCAATGCAACTTGGACGACGAAAGCGTCGTTGGAGCAACAACATCGACATAGACACAGGTTAACTCAAACCCCTGTCAACAATATATAGACAGATTTTGACATCGTTAAAGACCAGTAAGAAGAAAAAACTGAGCTATGAATGAAAGGAAATCGCAACCAAAAAATTCTCCTACCTAGTCAGTCTTTAATCGACAGAGACATAATCGCCCAAGACACTTGCTGAAGACTCCGCTTCTTATGCACCCGTTCACACTGCTCAGGCTGCAGGAGTTAAAGCAGCCAACTATGGCTTTGAATTGCTACTCCATCCTGTTGACCATGTTTTCCGCAGTCTCTCAATATGGAATTCAGTAAGATATCAGAGGTTAACACTTCTATTGGTGAACTATAAAATGAGTTAACTCATTTTGACTGGCTTACTAGTACACACATATACACAAAAAACTGCAACACATCGCCCTTACTCAACGGACTTAGTTCCATTTGACTTTCTGTTTCCTAAACTCAAATTCCACTTGCGCGGCCGCCATTTTTGAAACAATGACCAGGTCATATGTGCTGCGGAGGAGTTTTAGATGACAAGGATTACACATTCCGTGATGGGGTTGCAGGCTTAAGCATCGTTGGAATGTATTGATATCAAAGGGTAATATATTAAAAAATAGGGAAAAACTTGTTTCTATAACTCCTTCCGGGTGAGGCTCAGAACTTTTTTTTAATAATCCTCGTAATCTAAATTGTTCTCCTCCCACGGCGAAAGAATATATCGTCTACTACAAATTTCGGACTGTTCTCTTATTTCTCGCCCCATTCCCACTAGACTATTGTCCCGAAAAACACCTGATAAAGTTCGAATGTCAAAACAGCCGAAACTTTCTCACAAAAACAAAAATGACGAGGGCAACAGTACATTCGAACAGTATTCCGATGTTTCTCTCATTGTCATCTCTTTGTACAAGCTAACCAAAAAAGTCCTTGCCGTATTTGCTTCGTGTGGGAAGAAGTGACCACTGATAAGCAAATGAGTGCATCGCGTGCTGGGAAAGCGATGGGGTGGAGATGGTGGCATTGCTCTTGTCTAATGAAAGTACGTTGCGCACACACAACAGTTATAGCTCGAGCAGCGGCGATGAAACAAGGTGGTGTCGCAGAAGCTCGTTCGCGGTTGTCTGTATCATGTCTTTAAGGTGGGCTTGTCTGAAGACGCATCAGTTTTGGGATAAAGCTGGGATAAAGCCAAGCATTGGTTCCAGAACTTCAGGTCAGGAGATCTGTCCGTTTGTGGGGCCGGACACGTGTCATGGAGGATGAGTGCCTGAAGGCGGCCATAGAGGAGCACAACAGCCAAACCTGTGGTGAGATCGCCGAGGGTTGCCAGGTTTCTGATGAAACAGTCAGTCTTCACCTTCACGGCATAGAAAAGGCGTAGAAGTTGAGTAAGTCGGTAATTCATATAGTATCGGAAGTCAACAAGCAACAAAATGTGACACACTGTTTCTCGTTGCATTCTTGGCACCGCGACGTACCCATATTTAGACAAGTGCTCACCATTGACGAAAAGTGTGTCATTTATGACACTCTCACTCATGCCAGACATTGGTTGTTGTCATGGGACCTTATGCCTCACAAAATAAGATCACCTCTACACCCACGCAAGATTATGCTTTGTGTTTGGTGGACAAGTTGGTAAGTGGTGCACGATGAACTGCTACCAACAGGTCAAACCATCATTGCAAATCTGTACTGGCTGCGGTCGGAAGGTGTACAACATATACCGAAGCAGAAGGAGCCAGCATTGGTTAATCGCAATGGTGTACTGTTCCTCTTTGACAATGCCAAGTCTCATATGGCGCGGGTGGCCAGGGTTACTATACGGCGACTTGGCTGGTAGACACTGTAACATACACATTACTCCACAGACTTCTTCCATTTCATGGATAACCACCTTCGTGAGAAATCCTTCGCAAATAGGGTAGACTTGGGGCGGCCACTCCAACTGCGTTGCGTCCAAGAAACATGTTTTTTACCCCCAGAGCTCTCCACTGCTGGAGGCAGGTTGGCAAAAGTTTCTGGATGCCGATGGCCGTAATAAATTTTTTTAAATTGTGAAGAGATTTTATGGACAACCTGTATATTTCCAATAGTGAATGTTTGCTTTTGACTTCTTTTTTTACAGGTTAATTACAGCCAATTCTGATAATTAACTCTATTAAGATTTGGACAGAAGAAGTGGATTCATTCCTTTGCCAGTTGTATTCGCACGTGAGGAAATATAACCAACCCAAATGGAATTGGAACTAGGCTCTCCAATTTCCAATTCTGAGCTGTTATCCATTACATCACCCACACACCCCAAGCTTACAGCACCTGGTATTCCCAAGAGGTCACCCATCCAGATACTGACCAGGCTCAAGGTTGTTTACCTTTCGTGATCGTACAAGAACCGGTGTTTCAATGTGATATCACCGTAAGCCTATATTTATCCGAAAACGTAGAATATTTCTGATTATTTTTCAGATTTTGGGGACAATAGGGGCGATTACTTTTAAGCACCACCTCGAAGAAAAGAATCGTTTTGTTACCTGAGAAAGTAAAACACAAAATGGCGGATGAGTAAACTTCCAATCGATTCCTATTGATTCAAGGCTTTAATATTGTGGACCAACAAGAGAAATAAAAGTGGAGAATTTGTTCCAGTTCGTGACTTGGGTTTGCATAAAAGACATCAGAAATATCCCAGGTTTGCAATGAAAGGCAGTTTTGATGATTTCGGATTTTATAAAGATTTGATAAAATACCTTCACGACAGAGTTCGCCATTCAATAATCCTAGGGGTGTACACAGGGCATTAATATGAGTGAGGTAAAGAGTATATACGTGAGTCGATTCGAAATTATTGCCTCCTATTTAATCATGTTGACATTCGACGCCAGAAACGAACGTCCGTTGTATGGCAGTAAAGGTTGAAACTTCCCTCCAATAACCGAATTAATACTTCTCTGGCTTAATCCGCAGATACGCGGAGAGAATTGATCAGATGCTCAACTGCGCAGCGACCCTTCCACCACAACTGGTTATCGGAAAGATGATAATGATAATGAATATCGCATTGATGACTGAAATCTGTTGAAAGTAAAGCTCCCCATCCATGAAGTAACTGAAGAATTCCCTGTACAGTTGGTTTTATTATCATGAAGCGGTTTTATAGCACTAGAGATTGTTTGGCAGTAGAGGTTGAATTTTCCCGCCAATACCCAAAGTTTTTTTTTTTTACCCTGTTACATACAGCAATCGAGTAAGACAACATTTCATATTAAAGTGTCTTCGAAGCAGAGGTCTATCATTGAATTACTTCATAGGGAATAAAAAGTTCACCTGTTAACGTTAATCGTCGTTTACAGAGACCAAACAGAAGATGTGAGCACAGATAAGTGCTTCAGCAGTCACAAAACCAATACTCAAATAACGTTTACGCACACACACACACACATATATATATATATATATATTATACGTGTATATACTTTTTATCCGAGCGATTTTGGCTATACATTTAGCCATTTTGAAGGAGTATATTTTAACTGTTAAAATAAGAAATAGTTGGTTGCATGTATGTTTTATAAAATATCTTCCCAAACATGGCTAAGGCATTATGTGCATGTTTAAAGTTAATATTATTAAGTGTTGCTTTTTTGTTTTTCTTAATAAGGCTTCAATTATTTTTAGCCTTTTTGGGGGATGTAGATGATGCTATTATATTAGTGTTGTCAACAAATATGTTACGAATAGTGTCCGGTATGTCTCCATGAATATTTAAATGAGATGTAATTGAGCTATTATCAGAAAGGTGTAAATGTGCATATATATATATATATATATATATATATATATATATATATATATATATATATATATATATATATATGTGTGTGTGTCATAATGATCGTGTACACATAAAAAATTTCTAAATTTAAAGTGTACACGAACTTTATGGACACCCTGTATATATATATATATATATATATTTTTTTATAAATTTATTTTACTTCAATACGTCTGTTTTAAAGAAAAATGCTTTCCCAGGCAGTTTCCGAATTTATACATATATATATATATATATATATATATATATATATATATATATATATATATATATATATTTTTTATTTCAATACGTCTATTTTAAAGAAAAATGCACACCCAGGCAATTTCTGAATATGCCCGCCTGCAATTTTAGCGATCTAATTTCTGTTGTAGACGCCTGCCCAGGGACATTTCTTCGTTTTCAACACGCACAGTAACAATAGATAACTTAAACTAAAGAAAGCGTAACTGCGGTAAAGTTGAACCATATTACCCCGACACCAAACAAATAAAGGCTACTGAACCGACTTCACTCGAGAAAGGTTAAAGTGGCAATGCACCGTAAGCTCGTAATAAAAACGAAGATCTTCATGCTTTTACCTAATTCTCCTGAGAAAGATGCCATTTGAGTGGAACTTCTTCCTGATTTTGTCTATTTGACATGGCAGGTCCTAGCTGTAAATATTTGAAGTTGTGAGGCTAAAATCATGTAAATTCAATAGTGTTAATAGTAAATATGTTGTTCGATAAATTATATTTATTTTTACTTCGGCGATCAAAATTTTGTTTAATTAAAAAAATAATACCAACTCTAATGAAACAGTATTTGTTGTAGCATACCTACAGACAATAATGGGTATGTCCCCATTCGCATAAATACAGTAGCAAATACTGTATGTTGGTCTGCAGCTCTTCAGTTGGAAATTCATTGTGGAATTCACTTGACTCACCTCTAGCAGTTGACTACTTCTTCGCTGGCGAATCTTATATGTGTTGTTCTTGTCCTAAGTATTATCGTTCATTACAACCTTCCTGTGATTATTCTATTCGGTTATCTTCCCTAGGTTAAAACAGTATTCGTTTCTTGTACAGTGTGCTGAATCTATGATGAGTAAGAAAATGCTGATCGTAACGGTTTGGTAATATTACTCAAGTACACGTGAGAATTTAATTCGTTGTTTCTAGCTATGTTGGCACTCAGATATTTTGTGTACACTTGCATTTATAATTACATTTGCGTATTGATAGAGCAACGCATGAATGAAGAATATTTAATAACCATAACGATATATTGAGATATTTATGAATTGTAGATAGATGTGTGAATGGCTACGTTGTTGGAGGCACCTTGACAACCTCGATAAGCAATGGCTTCAGCTGACAATAGCAATGAATTATATTTGGCTTATATTTTAATGTTTTCAGTTTAATTAAAAGCAATGAGAAATTAAAAACAGAACGAATTTTTCCTCCATATTTTGGAGGTGAAACTAACCAGGTTCTTAACAGATTTATTACAGGAAGAAACGTTAAAAATTGAAATAAAAGGTGAAAATCTAAAAGACAATTCAATAAACAGACAACACAGAAGAAAACAAGATAGAAGGCCACCAGATAAATAAAAAAATGAAGAAAATAAATAAATGCATCGGCAACATGCTTGGAATGTGAACAACCAAAGATATTCAAAGATAAGACAACGTTGATGAAGTGATGAGTAAATGGGTCCCAAGCGAAATGTCTTCACTTCACTGCACACTTCTGACTACTTACAATTCATTTTTTAACACTACCTCTCAACGTGTCAGTTAAAATCTAAAGAGAAAAAGTAAAGATAAATGCCGTGATTAGATGGTTACTGTTGGTGTCGTCAGCGGGGTGGGTGAAGAATGTCTGCTCGAATAGGTACTGTTGAAATTCTTGCAGCAGAAAATTATTCATATATCTTATTTGAATTAGATTTTGCAAGCACTCAAATGTATTATATTTCTCAAATGGTGAATTAGTTTTATTTTTTAAATTTTCCTCGTGGTTATATATATATATATATATATAATAGTAAATATTGAAGTCAACAATCAGAGGCGACAGGATGTTTCATGCTAGATGCAATCGTCATATATATATATATATATATATATATATTTATGCAATCGTCATATATATACACACACACACACACACATATATATATATATATGCAATTGGCATAAATATATATTTATTAAAAGAACATTTTATGTTTAACGTTATTATTTTATAGATACAAGTATTTAAGCAAATGCTCTGTTTATGATAAACAGTATTAAATAACATTTACCGGCCTGAACCGTCGATACGCTATTTGTCATAGAAAATATTCGTTCTTTGAGCGGTCAAGGCATTCAGCGTAACCTGTTCCCTATACGGAACCGTCGAATCCTGTTCGAATTTGTCTAATAAATTTCTTTGGACATTTCGAGCGGTCAAGGCATTTCAGCGTATCATAAACAGTTCCTATAAATAACAACGTTAAACAAACATAAAATGTCTTTAATAAATAAATTGTCGGACCTTGTCCATTTCTTAATGTATATATACAATCTTCATATATATAATGTGTGTATCCATGTAATAAGAAAGAACAGCTTGGTTAATGATCCAAAGTTCTTTAGTATTTATTTCTAACAAACAGTGCTCGATACAGAAGTAGAGCTTAGATTATAAGTATTTTTAAAAAAACATGGCCATTGCGACACAAATTACTATGTTTCAAAACTAGACTCAAGACCTAAAGTTTGCAATATCACTTAAGAATGAAACTGTGTATATATATATATACATATATATATATATATATATATATATATATTGTTTTATATATGTAAACTTAAATATAAATGGAATTATTAGATGATTGCTGCTGGTGTCCTCAGGTGAAGAATGTTTGTTCGAGTAGGTACTGTTGAAATCTTTGTAGCAGAAAATTATTCATATATCTTAAATTTTCAAGCACTCAAAAGTACTACATTTCTCAAATGGCGAATTTGTTTTCTTTTTTTTTAAATTTTCCCCCCGAAGTTTTATATATATATATATATATATAGATAGATAGATAGATAGATAGATATAGTTGGGTAATGAAAAGTTTGGTAATCCGTATGGATAATCCCAAGGAGGATGTAATCCAGAGAGCTCAATGTCACACTAGGGCGTATATTAATTTAATTAAAATTTAAAAAAACAACAAAAAACAGACACCCTCAAGGGTCCATTGATTATATTTTATTACCCCGGGAATCTGTTTTTTCTTGCTTCCTCTGATCACATTTCCAAGCATAAAAATGGTTTTAAATTTACGTTTTATTATTATACGCTTTTGAGGGATAGTTTTAAGTTGATGTAAGGTAGAGAGAAGGCGAGAAGAAGAAACAGATATAGTCGAAATTACAGAAAGAAGGAAGAAATAGGAATAATTTTCAATCTATTTTTATTACAATACTTAAGAGTAAAGGTGCAGACATTAACTTATTTAATAAGTCATCTGACATGAAAAGAGACAAAGAGAAAAAAAAAGTTATAAGAATGCAAATGTGGAAGCGGGAGTGGGAGGAAAACGTGGGGGAAA